TAATGATGCTGTGCAAAGCTTAATTTAAATCTGTGTGTGTGTGTGTGAGAACTTACTGTATGGCACACATTCGTACTGAACCTCAAGGTATTTGTACGTTCCAGGACACGGGTCAGGAAAAACATCAGGGCCAGCAATGACCGCACACTGAGTTCGGTTGTTACACCTGAGAGACAAAAGAGAGAATGATATATATACTGTATATATATATATATGCTGACAGATAGAGCAAGGCTATTTGTTCAGTTCATTCAATATCAATCTGACATTAGGCATATGAACCGTATGTACTCGTTCAATATGTACGATAAAAGTTAAATGAGCCCTAAAATACCATTTTCATCAAATGAAAGAAAAAAGACACTTTTACTCAACAATCTCAATGGAGCTGAAAGACTCAAAATGTGGGCTCCCCAAAGAGCCAGGAACACATGCTGTTGTTCAAATGTAATTCATATGTAGGTCGTATGTACATGTAGGGCTGAAAATACAGAGCAGAACGAATTCAGGCACAAAAAAAGCAGCGCAAAAGACAGTTTTGACATATCCTGCTTGGCAGGAACACATGCACACACATACGGATGACCACCACATGACATATCTGTCATGTTTCATGATTATTACACCCTATAGAAATACGAATGGACACACACACACAAAACACAACTGACACATGTACAAACACACACAAGAATCTTAAAGCGCCGTTATATCTCCCTCAACGAGTAACCATGGAAACCTTCCAGTCCAACCCCACGGGGCACTTAAAATATACACACAAACACACATTTTAAGTTTCCAAGCTTAGCTTCAGAAAATCATTATACGACGGACTCAAGTGTGTGCGCATGTTTTGCATCTTACTTTTCAAACTGTCAGACAGTGGAATATTGTATAGGATTGGTATCTTGGCATTTGTGTATAAGTATAGATGCAGGTATGTTAAGTGTGTGTGTGTGTGTGTGTGTGTTTGGGCCCTAATTGCTGTGCTGAGTGAGTGTGACAGTCATACTCCCAGAGTGCTGTGGGACATCTCTGGTTTCCGGGGCGACAGCTCTTGTGTGGCAGTGTGCAACACGCAGATATGACCTAAATTAGGAGGAGAGGAGCGAAGAGGAGATTCTTTTGTCTTTTTCTTTAAAGGTAAGATTTGCATGCACAAAACACCCATTAGCCTGCTCAATGCCCCCACCTATAAAAATGTTGTCTCGGGTCTTGTGTGTTTAAGATTTGTGTTCACAGTTGTTGATCAGACAGGCTGTAGTGAGGAGATGACTGAATGAACTGGGGCAGTGCGTGTCAAATGAATATATCAGCATCATCCAGATGTACAGAGACCTTGAAAAACATCACCTGACTGAGATATCCGAAGGTTTCTAACAGTATGTGTGGGAATAACTGCAAACACACAGGATATCATTTTTAGTAATCATTTGATGAAATGGGTCCTATAAGGTCGGGTATTTTTTATAGTTATGAGCGTGCTTGTAGCTCAACAATGGAGTATGATGCTAGCAATGCCAAGATGATGGACTCGATTGTTGTCACTGACAGCAATAAATATATATCTGTGATCAATTCAAAAACCATCTGCTTTGAAAAAAAATTCCACATTGTCCCACTTTGAATCGATCATTGAATAAAGATGTAAAATGTCAATGAGAGAAAGATAAAATAGACTTAAAAGCCCATGAAAAGGTTTGATGACACATGCAGTTTTCTTTCCAGCGTTTACAAATGATGAAACGGTGAGTTGGGAACATACTGAAGGTTTTGTTCCTTTTGAAAACAGTCAGGAGTTTTTAGTTTACGTCACAGCTTGGCAAAACCACAAATCCCGTTCCCTCACAATCAATAGAAGGTTGGGAAGGGAAATCTCTAATCAATAAATAAATAAGCATGAGCAGCACACCAACGAATATGAATGAACGTGCATTGAATTTGCTACAGTACATGCTTTTGCTAGTTTTATTTATTAGAAATTTGTAAATGTACATGCATGTACTGAAATATACTGAATAATATATATATATATATATACTGAAAGTATACTTTTATTGATGTATAAATGACTCTAATTTTGATTTAATTGGTGATTAAGGGCAAATACCACAATGTCCTGGTCATATTCGACTCTAAATGTAAAAAGAATTATAAGAAATTAGATATTATATAAAACAACAGATATATTATATGCAACATTATATTTATTTAATTAATGACATTATTGGCATGACAATTAAGCACATTCACCCCCAACTTCTCTTTCTGTAATGTGAAAGAATGTAATTTTATTACAGTAATACTGTAATTAAACACCTTGTGTAGTTACAGAATGATGTTTTTATTAAAATCAGCCTATATTATGTACAAATTCAATACAAATACTACTGTGATGTACTGTGTACTTTACAAATATACTTGGCAATTTAAACATTTGTTTTTTATTTATTTATTTTTTGCATTACAGTAATAAGAATTGTCTTTTTCACACTGCAGAATTGGGGATGAATATGATATTGGATGACATTTTTAACAAAAGCAACACTATTTCCACATGCAATGTAACATGATCAATAATTTGAGAAACTCAAATCTCCTGACCAATCACAGGCTCTCTTGCCATTTTCATTTCTGGAACAACTGTTTAACATGCAGCATGTGAAATCAGTTCTATTCGCTCTGCTCTGAATTGCATCAGACCTGCTGGTTGAAATCTCTTTGTGTAATATATTATGTCTGCCAATAGATCTTGGATAAGGGGCTCCCAAACAATCACCTTCCAATTACCTCCCCTCATTGATTAGAGCATTAGCCTGCCATGGCACACACACGCACACTCCGTGAATACATTAGCCCAAACTGAGTGAGATGTAAAGGTCAGACAAAATGAGAGAGCGCGAGTGACAGAGAGAGAGAGAGCGAGAGCGGGAGATGAGGTGGAGAATGATAAATGATGTGTGATTCCAGCCACAGCTTCTATAAAAAGCAGCCGAGCAGGACCGAGAAGAGAGAAAAAAGGCCAAATCTTTTTCTTGTCTTCCGTTTCATGGAACGTTTCCTAATTCCTCTATGGGAATTACACACCGCTACAATCTGAGCACATTAGCAGTTCAGAGTTATAGAAACTGAAAAATCTATCTCTCGTGTGTTGATGAAAGTGGCCTGCCAGCGTGTAAACATCTAAATCGAGTCTCACAAGAGAATGTGAGCAGGTATATGTGTGTGTGTGTGTGTATGAAAGAGAACTCATAAAATGATCATTTCCTCCACATTGACTCTGGGCCATGGTCTATGGCATTGCTAATTGGATCTTACAGTCTGGTCTACCCTGAGGCCGTGTGTGTGTGTGTGTGTGTGTGTGTGCGTGTGTGTGTGGCAGGTGGTATAACAGGCAACCTCAGGGCAGGATATGGTGCTCTCTCGCTTAAACGTTTCCACTGATTACACACACACACACACACACACACACACACACACTGGGAGTCATTCTGAATGAAGAAAAACCTGTATAATCAAATCTGTCCAGTTCAAAATTAAAAACATACAGTAGAAGCCGGCACTTTTATGAATCTTTTATGAGAGCGAGACATGCCGTTACGCAGCATGACACATCCGTTCATGGTTGGCGATTATTCTCACGCATAGTCCATTTCCCTACATCTTTCTTCTTGTGCCATAGGGTGCCAGGTTGTCGTCGCCAGTCAAAGTCAAGGTCAGAGAGATAGCAGGCTGTGCTCTCGACATTAGCCGGAACCGAAATGATAATGTTTCTTGTGATGATACAGAAGCTAATGGGGTTTTGTTCTGCGTGGGTTCTGTTTTCCTCCGTAGCTCGGCTTCATCTGTACAGTTTGGAGGCAAAGAATTCATTTGTCCTGCCAAACAACTCTGAAAAATGCAAACAGGATGGCTAATATGTTTGGGCTGTTATGTAATGTGGACAATCTCAAATGACTATATCTGATTAATTCCACACGCTGTGTAAAAAAAAAAGCACTGCACAAATATACGCTCGCATTGTTCTGCAACACCTGTTTTTGAAGCACAATGTCTTTTCCCTGTTTTTTTATTACGCTCTTATGTGCTAATTATGCCTACAAATCAAAGTGTTGACAGCTTCGTGCTCAACTGAAACCTAACACACAGGCCACGTACACACTGCAAAGTTTTGGGAGTGACAACCACATTTAAATGTGGGAATACATACTCTAAATTATTATTCCATGTGTGTACGGAATGCAGGATTCACTCCAAGTTGCAACAGTTGACATGGTGATAACTCAATAGCAGCATTACCGCATTACCAACTAGCTGCTGAGTTTGGGTCTGTACACACTACTCTGATTTAATGAAACTGCGATTGTCACTGCCTGAATGTTTCAGCTGTGCATTTGGGGTAACACTTTACTTGAAGGGGTGTGCATAAGACTGACATGACACCTTCATAATCATGACATGACACATGTCATGAATATGAAGGAGGTTTTATGCATGTTTATGACAACTGTCATTAAGTGTCATTCGCTCAGTTATGTCATTTTTATTGTAAATATGACATTATTTGACCTAACCCTACCCCTACCCTTACCCCTAACCATAGCCCATAACAAAGACATCTCAAACAATGTCATCTTTGCATTAAAAATTACATAACTGAGCGAATGACACTTAATGACAGTTGTCATAAACATGCATAAAAACCGTCATATTCATGACATGTAATTTCACCAGATGTTGCAGACACAAATGGTTCTTCTTAATGGATTGACTCATTTAGCTGTAGTGTGTACCTAGCCATACACTGACACATACACACACACAAAGACACACACATTAATACAACCTGTGAGACAACAATAGAGCACAAAGCATGTGAATGTATCTCTCTACCTGAGGCTCATAATCTTGTAGGCATCAGGCAGATAGCAGCGAGTGTTCTCCATTTGAGCAGGGTCTGAGTCACAGATCTTGTCATCTGTGCGCCCATAATTGGCACTCTCGATCATAATGACATCGGTGCCCGGGCAGCGCAGTTCGATCGGATAACCCTCACACGACAGCTCTCGACGCACCACAGCCATCGGCACTGGAGCACGACTTAAAACTGCGAAGAGAGAGAGAGAGAGAAATATATTACATTGAACAAACTATGAAACTAATTTCAACACAAACACAATGTTCTTCATCTTTCACTCACACGCTCTCTCTCTCTCTCTCAAACATAAAATAATCCGCTTTTGGATTGTGTTAGAGAGAGACGGCATGTAGAAAAAGGAATGGTTATTGTGAGCAAAACTATTCTTCATTATACAATAGAAAGATCTCATATCTGCATCCAAAAGTCACAGCTATCTAGTTATCATGCCCTCAGTAATAACCTTTCTTTAAATCACACACACACACACACACAGACACTTAAATCAAAAATTACATTCTTTACCGCCACCCTTTTCCTGTTACCGTAGCAACACACTCCTTTCCCCGCATGACGTATATCCATAGACAAACATCAACACAATAAACTGCATTCTAATGCGTGCACAGACACAGACAGAGACACTCACGCACACTCGCGACACTTAAATCAAAAATTACATTCTTTACCGCCACCCTTTTCCTGTTACCGTAGCAACACACTCCTTTCCCCACATGACGTATAGCCATAGACAAACATCAACACAATAAAACTGCATTCTAATGCGTGCACAGACACAGACAGAGACACTCACGCACACTCGCTCTTATGAAATTAATCTCAGGGATGTGAATGACACTTGACTGTGTGCATGAGTTAATTTCATATTCTGCTGCTGCCTCTGATTAGCATACGTACTGACAGCAGAGATGTTAGGACTGGGCGATGTGGCCAAAAATATTATGACAATATTTTTTTCCATATCATATGATGTCAATATTTAACACAATATTCATTTACCATTAATGGGGATTGGGGAAGGAAATGCTTTCCACATGTTTGTTAGGCCTTGAGAATGAATGTAAAGATAATGTTTATTTTGATTTAATTTCATGAAATATCTTTTATTTTCTCCTAAACTTTTTTTTTTCTGTTTTATGATTCAATACAATCATAACTACTTTACAACAAAACATTGCATTTTTATTTTTTGTCAAATTAGATGCTGTATAACTGTATAAATTAATGGAGAAAAAAATACCTTGGTTGCATGATATTCCTTAAAGGGGTCATGAACTGAGAAATCAAAATTCTGTTGATCTTTTGACATACAAGATGTCATTGTACTATAAAAACATCCGGTAAGTTTCAGAACTCAAAACTTGCTTTTTAGTTTAAAAACAGCTTATATTGAAGCCAATCTGCCAAAACGACAGGTTGTGGAATGTGCCACTTTATGACATAATAGTGTGGCTAAGCCCCGCCTCCGCAGAAGAAGATCAACGCCTGCTTCGACATCACTGCCTGTTTAGCTCTGCCCACCGATTCACACATTTAGTGTAAATAACGAGAGGCAAATGCAGGTCTACACAGAAATCAAACTATAAAGATGCTCCGAAGACAATAAGACAAGTGTGAGTAACTGTGTTTATTATGTGGTCACTATTGCTTTGTCTGTTATTACAGATCGTATACTGAATATTTAACCTAAATCACAGCAGAGTCCATCTGTGAAGGCTGTAGGCTGTCAAACAAACACAACTGTAAGTCAATCACAGCAGTGGGCGTTTACTTCTGAGTCGACAATCCGCCACGTCTATTCAAACAGAGTGTTCTGATGAGGGGGGTCAAAACAGGACAGAAAATAGCCTATTACTTCTAAATTATGATGTTTTGATGTAAAACTTTTGATAACATTATAAGTGGACCTCAGAGAACAGTACAAAATGGCAGTTCATGACCCCTTTACAAATAATAATATTATTATTACTTGAGAATTATATTTAAGTATACAGTAGTAACATATTTCTGTCATAATTTCTTCAAGTGAAACCGGACTTCAGGTTGTCATGAAGGTCTTTCAGTTTCACTTTCAGTTTCAGTGTGTATTTGATGGTAGTTTTTCTCAGATGAAAGTCAAAAGTGACTCTCAGAGCAGCTCTGGAGGTGAAGTTCATGTGTTCATGTCCTCATGTATTGAGACACAGACACCGGAACACCGTGAGCGTCATGTTTTGTTTGAGTTTGTGTGTCAGACGAAACCGCGCCATTCATTCACACAAGAGAGTTATTAGTGGCATGCACTGACTGGCTGCTGTCACTTTTATTTCTGCTGTTAGATTAATCCACGTCGAGTAAAAATGTCCAGAGCTTATCATTGTTATCCACATCAATTTTATCACGATCTCACAATGTGATATTGTTTATCGCCCAGCCCTAAGAGATGCCAAATCATCATCCAGTCAGGATCCAGTTTGTAACCGTCGCCATCGCAATCATTTCCATTGAGATTTGACAACACACTCACACACACACACACACACACACACACACACACACAAGAGCAGTTCTGATTCTAAAAGGCCAGCAGAAATGACTGTGCATAAGTGTGTGGGCAGGGCTGATGTATAGAACTGAAATGGCTTATGGGTATAATGTAGGTTATTGGTTTAAATAGGATCGAGTGCAGGCAGGAAGGCTGCTGTCGAGGTGGAACTGTGTTTTAGCGCCCTTGAGACTGGAGGAAGGTGAGTGCCAGAGAAAAGAGGCAATCGATGACAGTGAGAAAAAAGGAGAGCGGCTGAATGAATGTGTGCATTACAGAGATACAGGGAACGTCGATGAGGCATCGCTTGTGCTGAGCGTTGCCCTGATGTTTTTAAAACGTTCCCCCAGTGGCCAATTCCCCAGTGTCCTCTGAGCTCAAACATTATGCTAAAGGTCCGACTCGCACACATGGGGTCACGCTAGCATGTGGCGCACACACACACACAGCGTCTAGACGTCTGCATCTATGATTATTGATCTGTCAGATCCTCTTACATCTGCACTCTATCTCACGCACTTTTAACAGGTTCACACAATTTTTATAGTTATGGATCGGCCCATAAAATGGCTCGTTCACTGGAAAATAATCCAGCTATATTTCATATTTCACTATGGTGTTTGGCAAAAATGCAGCCATCTATTAAAAGGCTTTGGAGTTGTTTTTGTTTGTGTGTTTCAAATGTCTCTCCCCCATATGTGCGCGAGCGCGTTTCTGCGTATGTGTGAATGTTTTGATCATAACGGATGTGCAGTGGTTGTGAAATTCAGTGATTGCTCATGAATCATTTATTGCTGCGAGAAGAGATGTCTCAATTAATAGTTTCCAAAACTTTTAATAAGATGCAAAAACTTTGTGGAGTTTTCACTGAAGATTTGAGAGCTGCGTGCTTCGCTCTCATTTGGCTCGTCTTCATCTGACAGTCTGCACTTCAAGGTTGGGGGCCAACTAATCAAATAAAAGCAGTAAGACATCTCATTTATCCATCTCGCCGAAAACAACACAACAAGGAAATAATTGGCTTTTGTGTGTGTGTGTGTGTGTGTGCGTGCGTGCGTGTGTGTGTGCGTGCCTCTTACCGAGCGTGACTGGTGTGAAGAGGGTGAAGAAGAAAAGTAGGCGTGTGGACCACATGACCGCCGATGACCCTGATGACCTCTGCACTGACTCGCTGAAGAAGCGTCTTACATTAGCCATGGAGTTCCTCTCTGACGCGAGTACCTAAAGCAGGAAGGACACACAGAGCAAGCAAAGAGAATGTTAATGTTACAGCTAAAGGTCACTTTTGTTGCACACAGTGTTACAATTAAAAATAACCGGAAATCAAAAGTGACCCTGTTTATTTTCTTAATAAATGTCACTGGTGTTCCCGTGCAAAAGATGCATCCTTGCACATTATTCAAAAATTGTTTATTTTTATAATCGCTTATCAAATAGTAATAATGTTCTTCTTTCCAAACCAACTGAGAACATTCAGCACAGGACGTGTTCTTGTGTTCAAAGACAGCTAGATGGACAGCAACAGAAGAAAACAGAACGCAAAGATCTCAAGCAGCGTCAAGTATGACCAACTTTTAACTTCATATGTGGCGCTCATGGTCCAAAAGACTTCTATTAGCATGTGTGCATAGTCCAACAATTAACAAAATACTACAGATAAACACAAAAGCACGTTGTCTTGTGTTTGTACCTCTGACAAACTGCGGACTGTTGGCCAGTGACAGGTTTATGTAATATATTCTGTGCGACCAGTGTTAAATGAGTTGTGAATGTTGTCATGTTGTCAATAACCATCAAATGTTAAACAGAGAATATTTCTGAAATTAAGGAACATTTTTAAAAAACAAATCAGTTTTGCAGCTCAAAAAGCAGAGAAACTGATCCAGCTGAACCCAGATGTAATGATCACTCGTATCTCTTGACAGTCTAGCAGGTCTCTGAATCATGTCTGTGTAATGAAGTCGATGACGCTGAAAAACGAATCCATAATATTTAATAGAGATTATTGACTGTTGTGGGTGTTTGACCATGCAACCATTTAATCATCTGACAAAAAAAGAAAACGTGTGGGTGTTTCTTTAACTTCGGGCACTTTTAATGCGCCTAGAGTTTAACTTTGTTTTTTAGAGATTTAAAAAAATTATGTCACACATGAAAATCATATTAAAAGTGCCTTGAAATTCCATAATTGTTTCAGCTAAGTTTTTATCTATACCAATTTTGTTTTATTATTGTTGCAGACTTTCAATCTTAAACTATGAAATCCATTACAAAATATACATTATAGCACTATGATGACCTAAGCAAATATAACTTACAGAACAGTATCATTTCGAATCAAGCAAGCAATTTTGGCAAAATATACATGAAGTGTAAAAATATTATTGTGTCTACTTAGGAAACACAAATGCTAGCTTTGTCAACCTTTTTCTAAAAACGAATAATAATAATAACAATAATTTCCGCCACACTGCTATTAAACACAATAAATAATATAAGATGTGTTGAAAATTACATTGTGTTAAAAATGTACTCTGTTGGACATATTACAAAAAAAATCGAGTGTTGAAAGTGTATTTTAGGGCAGTTTACTTTCTAAACGTCCACATATATCCGAAGTGCCCATAGCAGTGCAATGTGTAACAGAGGCATGACAGCATAGGATATAAATCCTGTAACAATACTCTTGAGAATTGCGCAGCTAATGCCTCCTACAGCAGCTTAATGCATCTGTCCTCTTTCCCTCTCCCACACACACACACACAGAGATAGTTATATATGGCCTACCTTCTCTGAACATCTTTACCTTATTAAAAATAAAGCACTATACAGCCACTGTCTCATTAAACTTACATAAACACTCAACAATGCCACTCAGTCATTAGAAACACACAATCGCACACTCTGTCTTCCTCCGAATGCACATAAACACACACACAAAGCTCTCTTTCTTTGTCTGAGTGATTGATGGCTGCTTAACTAAAGTGAACAGAAGGGTTTCGAGCAGATGCCCCACATTATAAACCGGGAGTCCAGGACATATGGAAAAATGCCCACAGTACCAGTAAAGAGCATGTGTGTGCATGTGTGATCAAATGACCATGCAATCATTCTACCAGCAGAGTCCTGGTCAAATGAGTGTGTGTCTTAGATCTATGACTTTCAACTACGCAGCAAGGAAACTCATGTTTATGTTAAACAGTCAGTCAGTCTGCCAGTCACTCAGGTGTACAGTATATGCACATATGCGAGTGTGTATGTGTAAAAAAGACACACAATTCCACTTTACTTCAAATAATGATGCTTGCTTAGATATTTTAAGGTGATCAGTTTGCATGCTTTTTTAAAGGAATAGTCTACCCATAAATGAGAGTTCTGTCATCAGTTATTCACCCTCATGTCAATCCAAACCTGTGTGACTTCTGTGGAAAGCAAAAGATATTTTGAAAAACATTTTACATGATATTACGTTGCTTCTTGCATATTTCATGGCATTTTCAAAGTGAAATGTCCAATGAGTGGCACTAAAAAGCGCATTCAAATTTCTCTGAAACAAATAAAGTAGCCAACATTTTACTACACTGGTTTATGCACATATCTCTGCAGTTCAGAAATGAAATGTCACGTTTGAAAAAAGTACCCCCTAAACCACAAACATTTTCTGAAGGAACCATGCTTGTTTGTACATGGTTTTGAGCTCTAATGAGGAATAGAGCAGCTTAAATAAACATTGGTTACACTTTACTTGAAGGGGTGTGCATAAGACTGACATGACACCTTCATAATCATGACATGACACATGTCATGTATATGAAGGTTTTTTTATGCATGTTTATGACAACTGTCATTACATGTCATTCGCTCAGTTATGTAATTTTTAATGCAAAGATGACATTGTTTGAGATGTCGTTGTTATGGGCTATGGTTAGGGGTAAGGGTAGGGGTAGGGTTAGGTTAGGGTTAGGTCAAATAATGTAATATTTGCATTAAAAATGACATAACTGAGCGAACATGCATAAAACCTCCTTCATATTCATGACATGTGTCATGTCATGATTATGAAGGTGTCATGTCAGTCTTATGCACACCCCTTCAAGTAAAGTGTTACCTAAACATTATTCAAAATTTATCTTTTGTGGAACACAAGGCGAATATTAATTATGACAGAATTTTCATTTTTGGGTGAACTCTCTCTTTTAAGTAATTAATTTTCATTTTACATTGCAGAATATGTTCATGCTTCTAGTCAGTTTCCTCAATTATTTCATTGTTTAGCATGATCCATTTGACCATATGCTAATCTTAATCACTTAATGACCTAATTAGCTACTTCAGCATAACCAATGTGTGGTCACTCTAGTATGTATAATGCTGATTAATCAGTGGGCATCTGAGGGTGACTGTCAGGGGTTCCGCTATTCACTCAATAGCTTTTCAGTTCCTTAAAGAGCCCATGATGTATGCATTCACGCCAAGAGTACCAGATATAACTAACCCTAACCCTAACCCTAACATAATCTAACATTGTTATTTTTTAGAGATTACAAACTTCAGCCATCATTTTGGATCCTTTGGAAGAAAATACAGAGTGGCAGGTGATGCACGCTAGGGACGCGCAAAACTATGAATTTTAACAAATATGTAAAAGTAGTGGGTGGGTTGCCTGAATGACTAGCTGACTCTAATTGGTTTTAAGGATAATCTGTATAATTAGGCTGGTTTCAGATTAACCTGTCACCAACAGGACACGTTTCTTTGGGGGTGTTTACATCAGTAATTGCAATGATTATCTTGCATTCAAAAACAGCTGGACGGAAAATGACAGAATGCAGGGGACTTGAGACGACTTTTTAAAAGTTGACATAGCATCTTAAAAATGCAATGCTCATACTAAGACACTGGCCAAAGACGTACGCTTGAATGTGTGTGACTGTAGCAGCGGTGCTTTAAAAAGGAGAAATTAAAAGATGCAGCTTCTCCAAGAGAGTTTTACAGTGCAAACTGACTCACAGGTAAAGCACTATGAATTCCCAATCGCGTTTTTAGGGGTCAGTCTTTAGTTATATACACTAACCTTCAAAAGATTGTGGTCAGTATTTATTTATTTATTCATTTTTTAATGTATACTTTTATTCAGCAAGGATGCATTTAACTGGTCAAAAGTGACAAAGACAAAATATTTTACTTCAAATAAATGCTATTCTTTTGAACTTTCTATCAAATAATCTTGAAAAAAATGTTTCTCGAGCAATAAATCATCATATCAGAATGATTTCTGAAGACTGAAGAGTAATGATGCTGAAAATTCAGCTTTGCATCACAGTAATAAATTACAACATTTATTTAGATTGTAATGATACAGCATTTTACAATATTACTGTTTTTATAGCATTTTTGAGCAAATATATGCAGCCTTTGTGAGCATAAGCAACTTCTTTCGAAATCATTAAAATATTTTAGACTCCAAACTTCTGATGGTACTGTTTATGACGTATTAATCGTGCATGTCCATTTCCACTATTTTATATTTAAATGACTTTTTCCATCATCTAATGCTCATTTAAATTCATTTTCAAGAATACTAAGAATAACTCATCCAAAGTCAATACCCATTTTTCATTAATTATTTAGACAAAATAGCATATCATTTTAATACTGGCTATTTATCAGTTATTAACAATAACTTAAAAATAATTGGCTTATATTGTGATAAAGTTCAGCACACTGTTGCACGCTAATTAAAGCACTGCAGCAGCAAAAAAAAACAAGAAATAAAACTACATGCACTGGTCAACTTGTACGTTTTTGGACAATTAGATCATCATGACTCTAATACACACAGTCAGGAAGTGACTTCCCCTTATTTTACTCTCATACTAAGTAGTTAAGTGTTCAAAAACAATCTATCCGACTTCATTATCTCACCACGACTGAGCAGATAAGGTATCTGAACACTGAATAGGTGGCGTTGGTGTGTAAATGTGGGCAGCCATGCATTAATATACACCTCCCTGTGTTGCCAAGCATTTTTCCAGATTAGTCTCAATAAAAGCATTTACTCTACAGGGGCAGGAAGTTTTGACACGTAAATGTTACAGTTTGTTTTCATAGTTCGAGAAACTCTTTTATATCAAAAGTTCATGGACTTCTTTAAATGCTTGGGTTGTCTTTCTTTAAATGATATGCCACTTAGTGTGACGTGTTGTTATTTAATGCAATGC